CGGCGGTTAAGAGGCGGCGCCCACGGGAGCCGGGGCGCGCCCCCCGAGGCGGGCGGGGCTCAGCAGCTGCCTGCGCCCGGCGCGCGAGACCCTCAGCTGCCAAGGCGAAAGGGCCGCGTGCGACCCCCGGCCCAGCGCCACCGCGCCTGCAGCCACCGGCACCGCCATGCTTCTAAACCACGCCCCCTCTTGCCAATCACAGTCTCCCGCGCCGCTTCTTTCTCGCGGCCTGCTAATCAGGGACAGTCGGGGGGCTCCGCCTCTGCTGTCAGTCATCGGCCGCCTCAGTCGCGTTCTCACGAGGCGTTCCCAGGTTCGAAAGGGTGGCCTGCCGAGGGCTTACCTCCTGCCACGCCCATCTCTCTTACGCAGCCGACCTTCGACCTTGGTGGCGGGGAGTCAAGGGCGACCAGGCCCAGGCTCCTGCGCTTGGCGTCAGATTCCCCCGATAGATGCTCTCCGCTCGTCTGCAAAATTCTCGGTGGAATAGAAAAAGATCGGCGTCCTCTTTTAATCATAGTCTCCGGTTATAAAGGAAGTCCCACTGAACTTGGTAGGACTTTCTGATTAAACCTCCGTAGGATGCCATTAACCAAATATTCTGACACAGTATATGTTGTGCACTGTATGGAAATGTTGGGTTGATCTCTTTAATCTACTTGAGAACAACTGTATAACGATAGTTAAAGCATCTCAGAGAGAGCTGGTTCAATTTTTGATTGATTGATTGATTGATTTGGTAAGTTTATATAGCCGCCCATCTCACATAGGTGACCCTGGGCAGTAAACAAAATTTTTAAAAAGAGTACAACAAATAATGAAAAAAATCATCCACCACTGCTGCCCTCTCCAGAATATAACCCAAAATAGACATTGTAAAACAGAATAGGTCTACATTACATGAAAATTACCAGCACTGTTAATAGGATTCGTGACATTCACTGTATTTTTTTCCCTTCGCTTTTTCACAGGGCTGTTGTTCCATTCAATAAGGGTGGACTCAGAAAACTCCTGGCAGTGAAACAAGCCAGCTGCCCTACAACTGAGCAGTGCTCAGTATTAAGGCATCAAGTGAAAAATACCCCTAAAAGCCAAAGTCTGCTCCATAGGCAGTTTCTTCCACTTTTACAAGCGAGCTTTCAATCCCATTCCCAGATATGGCCACTATAATCCGCCTCCCCTTACTTACCTACAAACTGTTTGAGAATGCTTGTCTGAGAGTAAGATACAACTCAGCAAGTTGTCAGCAGCTATGCCCACTAGAAAAAAAGGCATATACAATTTGGTTAAATAGAATTTCCTTAACAGTTTGTTGAATAAACCGTAATTGGTTGGATTTGCACAAGAGAGTGCACCTAAACAAAAAGAAACTCTTCTGTGGCTTAGTACAATATATGAGCTCTCTGATGTTCTCGTCTGGTTTTGGTTTTGCATTATGTTTGAACTAGGTGTGAATTAAACAGGAACCACAAGGGAGCACCAAGGCAATGAAGTCCTTTCTCCAAGCTGCTGTGTGCCATGCAGGGCTTTCACAATGTCCTTGGGGAGCACATATAAACATATACTTATCTCCATCATATGTAAGAGTAAATAAAAACTGAGAATCCAGACGTACTGGTATAGAAAGAAAGCTGAACACAAATCCACCACATGAAGAAAGTTGCATCTGGAGGGATCTCAGGATTTCACTAGGACTTGCCACAGCAAGATAATGGGATGAACAACTTTGTTTACAGCTCTGAGGTCCTGAACCAGTCTCCATAAATGGGGGTCAGAACCAGGTTTTCTCACTGGTAAAATTAGGCTTGTTTGGCAAATTATGGTTAAAACAATGTAAGAGCCTATTTTTTTTCTCTCTCTTACCATATGACTGGAACATCTAAGGCTCTTCAGCTGCTAGGACTACAACTGTTACCATTGTAAGATATAGCTACAACTACTTTCTCACCAATATGCTAGTTTACCCTGCATAGGGAATGCTAGGTTTGTAGGATTCAAGCCTTCCTTTGTTACATAGATTTCAGAAAAATCTATACAAAAATATGCCAACAGTACAAACTCTGATTTCACCACTATTGTGTGAATGTTGAGGTATAGTTTTATGATTGTTACAGCAATATATTTAAGTTGCCCCTGAAATTGTCTGTAATGACGGTTGAGCAACCTCTGGACCACATGTGACCAGCCCTCATTTATGGCTCCTGAGATAGTAACATGGAAATTTGTTGGCAAAATGGCAGAATTTCAGCAGTGTGATTTGGCCCAGGAGGCCTCGCATCTCCATCCCCCCGATAACCCCCCTTAAAAGAGGCAACAACTGGACAAACCCCTTTCTAGTGACATAACAGCATAACTGGATGTCCCCCTGCAGCCCTTCAATAGTTAAAGAAGCTGAAATTTGCAGCCAAGACTCTTCAATATTGCCCACCAAGAGAGGGATTTTAAATTGTATATTGCTTTGGGTAAATGGCAGTTGTACGGCTTCTTTTTTGACTTGCTAGTATAAATGTTTCTAGAAAAAAGAAGAAATACATGAGAAGTTCATTGCTCCAAGATACCATTAAGGGAATACATCAGATATATTGTTTCCCTGTCAACCACACAATCAGTGTTCAAACTTTTTTCCCCTTAATATTTTCCTTAGAACATATTTAAGTGGCAGTGCAACTTAAATCATTAAAATTAAAATATGGAAATGTTGAACTATGCCAATAGCTTCTACAGCACTGTTCCCCAAACTGGCTTCTTCCAGATGTGCTGAAGTAGGATGACAGCACCTAAAATTCCCTAGCTACCACGGTTGTTGGCCACAAGCCATTCTGGCTGGGGAATTCTGGGAACTGCCGCAGTCAGAACACATCTGAAAGGTGCTAAGCTGGAGAATGCAATAAATGCAATATAATTTCAGCACCCATATCAATTGCAGAGATCCACCAGTTTTTACATCAGCATCAAATAATACCCACAGCGATTGCGTGTAAGTATCATTTTTTTTTCCTGAAAAATCCTGGAACGTAATTCATTTCCTTTGTCATCCATTGCAGGTCCCTTCATGTCACAGGATGTTCCTGGCAACATCCGTTGAATCAACTGCCCACACGCATCACAGGCAGTTATTCAAAAGTTCCCAGGAAACATTTGCTCCAATATGGATCACATGTGCTGAGTGGTATCCTCTGCCAAGAACAAAACAAAACACAACATTCTGAGTGAGGGACAGAAGAAACGTAAACATTTTGTCTACCCACCGAAATTTTAGGCTAACTCAGATCATGGATTCTTGTCTGCCATTCTCAGCTCCAGTCCCAAGCGTTATCTTAGTACAATACTTTCTGCTAAAGAGGAAGGTTTGTGCTGTGAACAGACATTGTTTTGCCATAAACTCCGTTGAGTTTTCCCATGGGAGCCTCTCCTTGTTCTGATTACGCTTTTTTTATCTTTGGGCTTATTTTCATTTCCCCTATGGCTGGTAGGTGAACTAATTAATTGCAATGGCGACACACAATGAAACCCCGTGAGGGAGTCCTGACTCCCATTTAGTTCTTCCCTTACAGATAATGAAAGCTCTGACAGCTGTTGTTTTTCCAATTCTGTTTGAAGGTCCCATTCTAGCACATCAAATTTATTGGAAATAGGAAGAAAGTTTGTTTTCCTTACAGATCCTCTTCGTGCAAAATATTCTTCTATCTTTGGTTGTTTAGCTGACTCCTGTGCAGGGAGAGAGCCTGGGCTGCTGGCATGCTGTTTCTTTCTTTTTCCCATGTCATTCAAATCCATACGAGTTCCTGTCTCGGTGCCTTTGCCCTCACCTTCATCTCACCCAAAACAGTATAAGTTGGATTCAGAAAGAAGAATCCAATAAAATTGCTTTATTTATTTATTTATTACCAAGAAAAGCTACAGGGTAGCCATCCAGTGTTTTGAAGTTTAATTAGATCAGCCAAGATGACCATTGGCAAGGCACTATAGGCTAAAACTTCTGGGAAGCGCTAAGCTACTTACTTTTCTTTTAATAATGAAATGGTTCCAGGGCAACACATACTAATAAGGAACTACACCACAAATCACAAGTATCAGGAAATCTTGCCTTTTAGGTGCTTTAGGACCACATCCATCGAAAAGCTTTGTTTTTGCACAGCTTTACTCTCAAATGTTATGTTCCATAAAGCATCTTTGAAGAGACAGCGTTCTGGTGGCAGGGATGGATGGCTTAGGACCACTTAAATTTTAACCAAGGGAAGAACAAATGGTTCCAACTTAATAGCTAATTCAAGCTGTTTATATGCCTCAGACTACACAGAACAAGCAAGTACCTCTGCTACCAACTCAGAATCAAATTTTCCATTGTGTCACACACCTTTATAGCTGCAGAATTAGGATTTCTATTTTTTTGTATTGCTATTAACCAGTTGGGGGGCGGAGTTTGACAGAATAGTAATTTTTTAATTAATTAATTGAACCAAAATTGAAACTTAAAATTTAGTGTTGTCCTTCACATGTTTACTCATAAATGAAATTATTTTCTACTCAGTGGCACACACTAACAAATGACTACACTCAGGGCTGCAGCCTTGGTTACAAGCTATGCTGTGTAATATTAGAAATGCGTATGTTGTAATTAAACTAGAACTAAACACCTTAAAAATAAATCAACAGAATCTTAATAACCCCACCACTGATTAAACTGTATAAAGATTATAGTCTTTTAAAAAGAAATTAAATATTTATTTATATTTATTTATTTATATTTTGAGTTCATACATTACACTAATCTGTGGTTGGTTTTGGCTTACTCAGGTGAGCAAAGCTGTGTTGTTTGTAAATCAAAGCTTACAAACTATGGTTTAGTGCAGTATATGAACCTAAAAACAGTACCTTATTTAACAAACTATGCTGAGAGCAAGCCATTCATTAAAGTCTGGCCCAGCCACTATACAGCATAAGACATCCATTAGTGCACGTGGATGTTCAGTTGCATCTGATGACACCTTAAATTAAATTTTCCTGGAATTGCCGTGCAAACTTAGGAAAACATGTTTCTTCTTTAAGGATGTGCCTGCCACCAGGTATACTATGCATGCCTGTACATGCTCCAGATTATTTTATCCTTTTTTAATTTTAATCACCACCTATTATTAACACTCATGTTGTATACTTAACAAGCCTCTGACAAGTCTCTGATGCCTAAAGACACCATTAGGCGGTGGTAGAGAGGTTAAGGCATTATACTGGGAGTGAGGAGATCCGTGCTCAATGGGTTCTAAATCATGGGTTCACTGCATGATTTAGAGCCATATTGTG